AAAAAAAAAAAAAAAAAAAAAAAAATAAATAAAGGAAAAAGTAAAGAGGCAGCTCCGCGGGGGATGGACGGACAGTGCTTCCCCGAAAATCATATTTAAGAAGGAAAGCCCCACATGAAGCACAGAAGAATAGAGGACTTAATCAGTAGATACAAATTCAATAGACATTTTAGCTTTCAACTCCTTGTCTATTGCACACTACACTTATAAATGAAGCTGAAACTCAAAGTTTTAACTCTTATATTTAATCTATCAACTTTCTTAATAAGTAGTGCGAAATAATCAAGGTCATTAACTACAGGCGAATATATGACATTCTTAGGCATCAGAGGCTGAACAAAAAGATGGCTATATGAAAAATGGCTGATTACAAGTACTCATCAAGAAAAAAAAGGTATGCTGATTACAAGCGCTTGGACGTTAGATTCAGCCTTTGGAATAACAGCTGCCAAGTTCAAATTTCTCATAAAAGCAACAGTCCTCTTGCATTTTGGATTCACAGATCCAGCTTCAAGGTGCTGTCATAGCTCAAATAACTTCCTCATTGAATTACAAAACTCCTTGAGCCAAGGGTCTACCGGAATCAGCCTCTCTACCTTTATAGGGTAGGGGTAAGGTCTGCGTACACACTACCCTCCCCAGACCCCACTTATGGGATTAAATTGGATTTGTTGTAGTGAATTACAAAACTCAATCACGAAGGATCCTCATGTGGACACATACCTTCAAAAGAGTGATGAAAAAGGTGGTCTCTAACAAAATCCCCGACCCTTCAAAGCAGGAAATGAATTTGATAAAGACATGGCAGCTCCCACAGATTCCAAGGTTTTTCAACTTAATCAATGAATCAAGGTTCATCATCTGCAATGAACAAAGAGGACCTCAGACATTAGAGATTTGAATAGTATAAAGGTAAGGCTGACTATAACTGCTTGGATTGCTAGATTCAGACACTGGGATCAAAGCTGGCTGCTGAGCTCCAATTTTGTACAAATGCAACTAGTTTTGTTGCATCCTACCCACAACTGGATTCACTGAGGTCCTGCTTCCGATTGCCATCAAATGCTCGAAGAACTTCTCGAGAAATTAAAAATCTTAATCACCAATAATCCCCACATGAGCAGACACCTTCTTTGAAGTGATGAAAACGGTTCGCGTCTCTAACATAAATCTCTCTCCCCTCAAAGCTGGAGATGAATTTGATAAACGAATGGCAGTCCCCACATATTCTAAGGTTCTTTATGACACTTAGAGGAGTCCCAGGATTAGTGTTCAAAATTCCTAAAACTACCGCCAACTTCTCACTATGTCCACACAAGATCAGCTCCTTGTCCTGTTCTTCAACATCTTGCAAAACAAAATCCATATCATGTGAAACACCTGAATTCTTCATGTCCATGCTAAATTTTCGCAACTTTTCCATAATCTGTGGCATTTGAGGATGTAAATCATCTCCTGCTAATAACATGTGCACTTTGTTTTTTATTTCAATCCAACTACATCCAGGATTTTTACTCAAACCCACATATTTCATCCTGTCCCTCACCCTGTCTACTTCTTTCCATCTATTGTTAGAAGCATAAATATTGGACAGTAGGATGTAGTTTCCAGGATTCTTGGGTTCTAGCTCAAAGAGCTTACAAGCAGCAATCTCACCCAAACTCGTATTGCGGTGTAGTCTACAAGAACTTAATAAAGCACCCCACACACATGCATCAGGTTCAACTGGCATCGTGGACATCATGTTATATGCTTCTTTGAGCTTTCCTGCACGGCCAAGAAGGCTCACCATACAAGCATAGTGCTCAACTCTGGCCTCAAGTCCATGAACTCTAGACATAGAATAAAAGTAATCTTGCCCTTGTTCTATAAGGCCTGCTTGGCTGCATGCAGATAAAACACTCGTGAAACTAATGAAGTCAGGTTTCTGCCCACTCCTTTGCATTAGCTCAAAGATCTCAATAGCTTCCATAGCCTTTCCGTGCATTGCATATCCACTGGTCATTGCGTTCCAACAAACCAAATTACGTATGGACATCCTATCAAAAACGACGCGAGCCACCTGAATCCTTCCACAATTGGCATACATATCTATTAATGCACTACCAACATAGACATCATCTGAAAAACAATTTCTCAGAGAGAAGCAATGTGTTGCCTTTCCGTGTACTAGTGCTGCAATATTGCCACAAGCTGGAAGCAAACAAGAGATTGTTACAGAGTTTGGCATCACCCTAGCCAACTGCATTTCTCTGAAAATCTCTAGAGCTTCAAGGTCTTTGCCATGTTGCGAGCAAGAACCAATCATCGAAGTCCACGAGACCACATTCAATTCAGTCCCTTTGCGCTTAAACTTTTTGAATACTTTGAAAGCCTCATCAACAAGACCATTCCGCGAGAGCCCAGCTACCAAAGCATTAAAAGCACCCAAATCCATTTCCTCTTCTCCTTCAAAGACTCGTGACATCTCCAAAGTACACCTACACTTGCCATACATATCAATTAACGCGCTGATAATACAGATATCACATTCAAGGCCCATTTTAATCACATAACAATGAACTTGAACACCCATCTTAAGATCCTCCAAGCCACCTATAGAAGGAAGAACGCTAGAAATACTAGTCCCGTCACTACTAAACCCTACTGAATTCATCCTCAGAAACATCAAAACCGCCTCCGAATAACACCCCCTTTGATTAAACCCCGCAATCATACCATTCCACGAAACAAGATTCGGCTCAATACCCAACTTCCCAGCTTGATCAAACACCAACTTAGCATTAACAACATCCCCTCGTTTCGCATAACCGGAAGCTAAAGCACTCCAAGAAACCAAATCCGGTTCAAGCATTTTATCAAACATCTTACGTGCACATTTCAACTGGTTACATTTCACGTACATATGAACCAAAGAAGCTTCAACAAACGAATCTAAAGCCAACCCAGTTGTTAAACCAAACCCATGAACTTGCTTCCCAACTTCTACCGCCGATAATCCAGCACAAGCCTTAATAGCACTAGGAAGGATATGTACATCAGGCAAAATACATGCCGATATAAGTCGAGAAAATAAAACAAGTGTGTAGCTGAAAAGATTGGATTTTGAAGAAGCGTGAATGAGGGCTTTGAAAGAGAAGATATTGGGGTTAGGAAGCGAGTGGAGAAGAGATTCTGCATCGGTAAAGCGTTGACAGTTGACGTATAGGGAAAGGAGATTGTTGGTGAAATAGGTGTCATTAGAATGGCCAGTTTTGAGGATATGAGCGTGAACTTGTTGTGTTTGAGAGATAGATGTTGATTTTGTGATGAGAGTTAAGATGCTGTTGCTGTTAAGGTTATCAAATGCGCGTAGTGTTTGAACTTGCCTGACACTCATGGAATTAGGTGAGAACAGAACAAGGTCCTCCCCGCTGAGTACCAATATCAGATTTCTTTTACAGTATTATTTTCCATTACTTCTTTCTTTTACAGGGAAGTACAGGTTTGGTTCTTTACCAACCAATTTTAATCTTATATTATTTTTTCTTATGTAATTTAACTACCTATTATACATATAATTTAATTTTTTTTTACCTATTAACAGAGTATTAAAAAATTAATATTAGAAACTAATTTATGTTGAAAACATAATTAAGTAAATAGAGTGTGATCTCTCTAACACTTTATGCTTTTAGATGAGATGGTCACACACTTCAACATGGTATCAGAGCAGGCAGAGGTATTAGGTTCTCGAGTCTCATCGACACCCAATATCAAAAATAATTTCATATGCTTGGCTCATAAAAAAGAATCAAGCTCGCGAGGACGCGTGTTGAAGACATAAATAAGTAAATAGAGTGTGATCTCTCTTACTAAATTGATGACTGCAGTTTCTTGGGATGACATTTTCAATTTGTGGTTAAAATTTGAGCTATTTGGTAATGTTTGTCGTAAGTTCAAATTCGTAGGAGACGAAACTAAATTTTTGTATATAAGTGTATAATGTTTTACATCGGATGTATAAATACTATTGCGAAAAAAATAATTAGCTATGCAGCTGTAATCTTAAATATATATAGACATATATACAATGTAGTGTATTGAGCTGTACTTTTGTATAAATTAAATCTCTATAAACTTCGTGGCTTTAGTATTACTCTATAAGATAAGATAAATACTAATTTTGTGACTTTAATATTACAATAAATGAAATTAAATTCTACTTATTTTAACCTACTGAGGAGTCCTATTCAAGAGTTATATACCAGTTACAATCCGACGCAAATAATCAGTGAAGAGGAATCGAAGCTCCGAAGATGATAGAAAAGACTACTAATCTTTTCAACCAAAGAAGTAGAAAAGAGGAAGCTCCGAAGATGACACAAAAGAAGAAGTCAAAGAATACAAAGCATATTGATGTTGATCGGGTAAGTTCTGATTTCAAGCTGTATCAGTTGAGTTTATTCACTTATTTATTTCACTTTTAATGGTTAAAATATTGTATAACCTAGCTAAAAATTTAGCTTAGCTGAACAAGGGTTGGAGTTTCACCGTCCCAAAATACTTGTCACATTTTGCTTCTGGAGAATGAAACTACATCATATTGATACGAGAAGAATTACAAATTATAGTATGTTTCATATAGTGTTTGAATGTCTAAATTTTGATATTAAAATATTAAATTAATTGAATCCAATTTAGCTTTAAAGATTAGTGAAATTAAAGCGAAACATCAAAAGTATTGTGGGACGAGAACGTAGTATAGAAGAATTGGAATAAGTGCTATTTTTTGTTCTTTGAAAGCTAGAACTCTACTTTGAAATTCCAAAGGTATTATATTTATTTTGAACAACAGTTGTTGCATTTGTTGGACGGTTTTCTCAACCAAATCAAGGTAAGTGTGCAAGTTTTGCTTGAAAATCTGTTTCAGACTGTAGTTGCTGTAGCTTTCTTTCTTTAATATTTGTTGTAGGTTTTTGTATATATGTGTGCCCTTTGAGCGTCTTCTGGAAACAGCCTCCCTGCCTTATTAAACGTAGGTGTAAGGTCTGCGTATACACTACCCTCCCCAGACCCCACTTGTGGAATTATACTGGATCTTTTGCTGTTGTTATTTGTAAAGACTTAATATCTCCAACCTGTGAACTACTAAAGCAATTGCTTTGTCCTATCTAGGCCAGTGGCGAAACTAGGAATTTTCTAAGGGTATTCAAATTTGAAAAAAGTGAAAAAAAGTTCCCGACAAAGGGTGTTCAATATGTGTTATATAACTCTAAAACGTAATATTTTGCCTATATACACAGTGCAAAACTTCCAAGAGGATATAATTATGGACATCCTGAGCAGGTTACCCGTTCGATCTCTTTTTCAATTCAAATGTGTTTCAAAAATTTGGAAGAAATTAATCTCTGAGTCTTACTTTAAGATGAAGCATCAAAGTCATCCTATGAATGACTTGAATTCCAAAAAGTTTCTCGTTAGCCAACAACGCATTGGTAAACCAATGTATAATTTCTATTGTTCCTATTTATCATCGGTTCAACTTGTTGAGGATGTACAAAAACTTGATTGCCCTTCAAATTGCAAACCACACGACTGCAAAATGTATTGTTCTTGTGACGGGGTGGTTCTTCTCGCGATTGATGAACAACTTTTGCTGTGGAACCCTTCCACAAGAGAATCAATAGAACTTCCCCGTTCAGAACTTACTCTAAGAAAATCTACTTGTGGATTAGGGTATGACGCAACTAGTGATGACTACAAGATCCTTAAGATTAACTATTATCCTAAAGTATACATTGAAATTCTCGCGCTAAAAAGTGGTTCCTAGAGAAAAAAAATTGAATATCCAGGTAGCCGTTTTGACCCAATGTTGGTTTGTATGAATTCCTTGGCATTTGTACATGGAACATTTCATTGGGTTGATCTGAAACAAAATTATTCTATAGTTTCATTTAGTATTTCAGATGAGATGTACGGAGAGATACTGTTGCTAGAGCGACTGCTCAATGGATTCAAAATAGCCATCAAACATGGCGTTTCTATACTGGGAGGAATGCTTTGCTATAATTATACTCATATACCTTTAGGGGGGAGCACTTTTAAATTGTGGGTAATGAAAGAGTATGGTGTCAAGGAATCTTGGACTGAATTGTATACAATACAACTGGATAGTATCAGTCATTCATTCACACCGAAATATAGGTTTGCGGATGGTGAAGTGCTACTCTGCCATAGATGTTTGAACCGGGTTGGCTATGTATTTAGTACATCCAAAGGACCATTTGGGTTATGGCCTGAATGTAACACCCGTCAGGAAGGAATAATTTATACAGAAAGCATGATCTCTCCAAAATCACTTATTTAGTTTGCTTATATATGATCGAGACATTTTTTAGGGTACCATGTAACAACCTCTTATTCTGATAAGTTTATCTATTGATCCTTAATTTTTTGTTCCGAAGTGTATTTACTAAGAGGGTGTTTGGCTAAGCTTATAAGCTGGTCAAACTGGCTTATAAGCACCTTTTGGCTTATCTACGCGTTTGGTAAATACTCAAAGTGCTTATAAGCTAAAATCAGTCATAAGTCATAAGCCGGTCACCCCCAACTTATGGCTTTTCAACTTATAAGCACTTTTAGTTTGACCAACACCTTTACTANAAGTGCTTATAAGCTAAAATCAGCCATAAGTCATAAGCCGGTCACCCCCAACTTATGGCTTTTCAACTTATAAGCACTTTTAGTTTGACCAACACTTTTACTAGTTTATCCTTAATAATATTTTCTAATTCACAAAATACTTTTCCCAAAATAAATTTCTTAACTTTCTCTTCATTCCATATTCGTTATTAATTCTTTTCTTTACAAAGAAATTTTTAATTTATAATCTTTTGAAAAAGATTCAAGGGTATTTTAGTCATTTTAACAAAAGAATAGCTTATCAGCATTTTTTAATCAAACACATCAACTGCTTATTATCAGTTTCAGCACTTCTATCCAAACACGTAAATGCTTATTTTAAAAATCAGTTTCAGCATTTAAAAAAACTTTTCAGCACTACAAGCTTATCAGCTATTTACAATCAGCTAATCCAAATGGGCTCTAAAGCTATCAGCTTACTCTCATGTTCTCAGACAGCAACGGGAGCCATTTTTTGCTAAGGAAGAAGTGATTGAAACCCGCTCCTTAAGCATATTTTGCTTGTCTTAATCGTATATCCTAATTGCTATGAGTAATGCGCTATTTACACTTATAATATACAGTGATATAATATTAATTTGCTATTGCGCCTCAATCTCAAGTTAGTTTTTTTAAAAATAAAAAATAAAAAATGCCCGGCCGTGCGCCTGGGTGAGAATTTTTATTAATATCTCAAAAATGATGCATATAAATGTGATTCTATAGCAATCAACTTGCTACATCTAGATTATACAAGTTCGTTGAAATCGACTATCCATTATTCAATTTGCTATATCTAGACTATCTAGAGATATAGGAAAATACAAAAATACTGCAAGTTGAATTTATAAAACATCACAAAATAAGAAATTTTCTTAAATTATCTGCCTCAAGGTTACTTGACTGGCTCAATATTTATTGATTCTGAATACCTGATAGCAATTTCGGGTGGAAAGTAATATTGAATTATTAGAACAGTAAAATATCAAAAGTACCAGTCAAGGTGAAAAACAGCAAAGTGAAAGGAAAAAATAAAAAAGGAATTGAAAAACAGAACGTACATTCTTTGCGATATCACTAGCCGCTGCTTATTTGGAAATTAAGAACTTTGGTCTCACATTAGCAACAACAGATAGAAACCCACAATCTGGTATTTAAAGGAAACAATAACGACAATATTATCATGACAATGTCACTCAAGCAGAACAATGCAGATTCTACTAAGACAAGCAATTTCTCAGTAATCAATAAAATAATTACCTCACTGAAGAAATATTTGGGTCATAATCAAACCATTATATATGACTTAAATCATACAAAATCATACAAAACCAAGAGAACCTCAAGAGTAGCTACTTACACTGATAAAACAACCCCTTGTTATCCTTTTGTGCTTGCTACCACGTCGAATTCTACTAACAGTAAATGTTCTTAAAGGGAAAACTTTACACGAGCAGGCTAGGTTTCAGTAACTTCTGCCTGGAGAGGGAAAGAACATCCGTTCACCATTGAGTGAGTTACTCTACAACATTTCTTGCTTTCTAGGGCTGCATGGAACATAAAGGGTTATGTCATGAAATCATGAAAATAAACTTTCTCACTACAAGCACTTCGGTTTGTTCTGTCACAATCCTAACATAGATAAGCGATAAGCTTCTTTGACATGATCTGGTGAAGGATCTTCTCCTCTTTGCCACATCCTTCCACTTCTCTGCATCTTGATCAGCAAAACAAAATCCCCATCCAAAATGCATATGATATAACACAGGAAAGTATAATTGGGATGATCATATCATACTCGCATTAGCCTAGGCCTGTAGCTATAGTTTTTTGATTTCAAGCTGTCCTGTCTTCATATGATAGAAATGCTATTATAATGACTAACAAAATTATTCTGGAAATTATAGAGCAGAGTAAACTAATTGTAACGTAAAGAAATTAGGAGAGGTGCACTGAGAAGGAAAGATCAAAGAGTTTTCACAGAATAGATCTCGATGTTTTTGTTTTCCTTTGAGGGAAAGTAACTGGAAAGTACATATGGTTAGAGACAAACTATCGAGAACTTTCTGGTGTTTCCTACTTGCTGACATTAGAATCTTAAGCTCTCTGTGACATTCAGCCTAGTAACAAGGGTTAGATTAACCCAGCAATCTTTGACCTAATTTGCAATTCGGGGTCCAAGATGGTTGTCTTACCCTCATAATACTCCACAGCCTCACATTCACCACCAAGATTCTCAATTTTCGTCTGCTTCACCATGTGCTATAGAATTATCCTAGAATCTTTTGGCCTCCACCATAGTTCCTTCATGAATCCATGCTCTCAGACCATTCTCGAGGCTTTGGCTACCTACATATGCCAGAAGAAAAGGGTTTTAGCATTTCTGAGTTGCATTGCTGCACCAGTACCCCATTATCAAGTTCTCCTGTAACCGTATTGTTCCTGAAGTTCAAGAGCAGCATCACCTACATTTCTGTTTATTTTGACAGGTAAAGTCATAAACGTCAGTATGCGGCACCAAGTAACATTGTTGATGTCATTAATGAGGAACTGACCCAATCCAGATATGCATAAGACAGACGAACACAAAGTGGCCTTTTCACTTTGTGATTGAGCTCCGATCAAATGTAGCATTAACAGGATTTTTAAGAACTCTAATAACTCTTTTGCGGGAGATTCTGTGAGAGAGTTCGACCCACGTTGTAAAGAAATATGACCATGAAGCATGATATCTGATATTACCAAAAAGATTGTTTATAACAAAACCTTAAAGCATGATCGAGTAGACCCTGATTTTCTTTTAAATGTCTGACATCTGTAACTGTACGTGAAGAGAAAATGTAACACACTCTCAAGACACAGCAGGTAGAGCTCAAGGTTCTTAAAATTTAGGAACAGAATAAATTCTCTTTCATTTGGTAGAAACTAGGCACATAGTCACTACTATGAGTACTTGCAGTTTAAGAAATGAAATGTAGGTTTTCTTAAAAAAGAACATGAAATGCAGATAAAATATTAAGACTACTGTCTTTCCGCGTAAAGGTCCCTTCAGTTCATACCTAGATGCTTCCCCAGAAAATCTGAAAGATAGTATTGATTTTCTCGAAACCAAGTGCAAATATCATCAGCAATTGGCACCAATGTTTTCCAGAACCTCTGGCGATTATGTTATCGTTCTTGTGCTATTAAGAGAGGCAGACCATGAGAGTAACCTGCTTCTAACCATGTGCTGGGAAGCAATAAAGTAGTCAAAACCAGACTTATTAGGCAAAAATCCCTTCCAATCCATCTGATGGAAGAAAGCATATATTAAAGAGGCTTGCTTATATGCCAACAAGTAATTTTGGCTGGAAAACATGCATCATCTTATCCCAACAATGTCCAGCATGCAGTCAAGAATGATTTCACGTTACCACATATAATTTAAATGAATCTTTGATAGTTAACCATTGCATATATGGGAAATTATCTTTGCACTACCAGTAGTCTCCACAGGAACAAGAACCATTACGAAAATGATGGAACCGATTTGTGTCTCTCAAGATGATTTCCCTATTCACCACCTTTGAAGCAAACTTAAATGCAGTATGGCAATCACCACAAACTCTGATGTTCTTCTTTATACGGATAGGGGACCCGGGTGGAGAATTGAGAAGAGCAAATGCTAAAGCAAGTCGTTCACTATGGTATTGCAACCTCTCTTCCCTCTCCTGCTGATCCGTAAACCAAAGCACGTGGCTAGTGTCTGGGACATAGCCAATTTCTTTAATTTTATCAGTTATCTTTTCCCACATGTTATGGATCTCCTCTCTCTGTGGATGGGCATCATCATTTGCTACAAACATATGAACAGCATTCTCAATCTCCACCCAACTGCAAGCAGGTTCTTTCTTGACTCCACTCTCATTCATCATTTTTCTAACTTTCGCAGCATCACTTCTCCTACCAGCAGAAGCATAGATGTTGGACAGCAAAATATGTGGCCCTGAATCATAGGGATCAAGTTCAAACACACGTTCAGCTGCATAAACACCCAACTCCAAGTTTTTATGCATCCTACAAGCTCCAAGCAAAGCTTTCCAAACAGCTGCATTAGGTTGAATTGGCATTTCATTTATGAACTTATCAGCACGGTCAAGTTGACCTGATCGGCCAAGTAGATCTACAATGGTCACATAATGGGAAATATTAGGCTCTATCTTAAATTTCTTCATCAATTCAAAATAATGCATTCCTTTGTCTAGAAGCCCAGCATGACTGCAAGCTGTAAGAGCACAAAGAAAAGTCACTTCATTAGGTTCAGGTCCTATCCTACGCATTTCCTCAAAGCATTCTACAGTTTCTTTTCCGAGTCCATGCTGAGCATAGGCGGTAAGCATTGAGTTCCAAGAGACCACATCCTTTTTCACTAACCGATCAAAGACCTTTCGGGCATCATCAATGCTACCAGACTTAGCATACATATCAAGCAGAGTATTCCCAATAAAAGCAATAAGTTCCAACCCTGACTTGATCATATGCACATGCACCCATTTCCCAGGCTCTAGAGCTCCAATGCTTGCACAGGCTGCATAAACACTTGAAAATGTAAAGTGGGTCGGCTGAAAACCGCCTCTTTTCATCTCAGAGAAAAGCTTCACAGCAATTTCTCCCTCACTTTTCCTCGCATGCCCAGCAATCAAAGCATTCCAAGAAACCTCATTCTTGCAACTTAACTTGTCAAACACAATTTTCGCTTCGTCCATTAGTCCACACCTTGCATACATATCCACAAGAGCAGTCCCAACATACACATTCTCCTCGTATCCAAATTTCACACACGACCCGTGTAGTTGCCTGCCCGTTCTACCACTGTCCAACGCCCCGGAAGCCTTGAGAACACTGCCAAAAGTAAACTGATTCGGCATAAACCCAATCCTCAACATCTCACAGAACAAAACCAATGCCTCCTCAGCACCCTCATTCTGCGAATACCCAGTAATCAACGCAGTCCAAGAAACCATATCTCTTTCAGGCATTTCATCAAACACCTTGCGAGCATCATCCATGCTTTCATACTTCGCATACATATTAATCAACGTGTTATTCGGAACAACATAATGTCTAAACCTCGACCTCAGGAAGTGTTCATGAACCACTTTGCCTTCTTTAAGCCGTTTCCATTCCGTACATTTTTTCAGTAGCTGGTTATATAAAGTGGCATCTGGGTCCATTGCGCCATTGTCAATAAGATACAGTACTAAAAGTTCCCCATTTGGAGCCTTTTTCAGAAGATCTTTGTCTTGTATAACACCAATAAATGAACCAAAACGTTTGTGTACCGGTCCAGTTTCTGATTCTAAGGCTGATACTGCACTTGACGTAGAAAAAAATTGCCGAGCTATGGGGATGATTGAATAGAAAATTGATAGATTTGTGACGTACTTTTTCATGTGTATCGCCTTTGCCATCATCTCTCTCACCTGCAGCTCTTACTCTTAAGTGCTTCCCAATTACAAATGGGAAGATGACATGCTATATAATCGTAGTGTTTTAAATTTTTATGCGCTCAACTCATTTATAAATTAATTTTACTTGTTCGCTATATTAAAAATATAATTTTAATTTTAGTAATTTTTAATTTTAGAAAATTAAGATAAAATCAAATATTTTTTTGTCTTACCATTATCATTAATTACTTATTCCTTAAATTATTTCTCACGATCTCTTAAAATACTATTATTATTATGGGTATTATGGTAAAACAAATACTTTATTTATCATTTCTGAATGGGCGTGCCAAGTCCCTTGCGGATAATTAAAAGTAAACGGACGGAGTATATTAATTAACCTCTTATCACATATCTTTACAATATCTATGTGTGTAAATTAAATAATAATCTAATAATAAGCTTTATGAAAGTAATAACTTCAAATATTATTTTTTTTAAGTAGCAAAGGAATATTTTTAATTGGTGATTTTTGCCTTTTGTACTTTTTATTATGGTTTTCTAATGTATTATTCTAATTAAAGCTAAGAACAAATAACAGACAATTCTTGCTTAATTTTAGAAGCAAAACTTTGAAGCTGCTAAACGTAAATAAAATGGGTAATTAAATATTGGACAGACACAAACCTTATTGTTTACCCGTAAAACGCTACAGTTGAATTTGTTACGTGGTTTATAGACAAGCGAATAGATTTGATCCAAAAATGATGAATAAACAAGATTAGAAGTAAGACTTAGCGATTAAGATTGAAGAAAATGACAAGTCTGGCTCCGATACCAGCGTCTCCGAAGACAGAAATGAGAGCAATATAAAAGAGCAAATAAAGTTGTTTTATTGAGAGTGAAAGTAGAATACAATATAAGTTTTGCTAAGAATCGTATGTTACAATGACTACTGAGCCTGCTATTTATAGTTATATCTAGGAAAATAAGATCCTAGGATCAAACTCCTCTTAAATGACAATAAATGGGCCATTGATGAATATGTAACGATAATCCATGAATACAAATATTCTCGGCAACGACTGCCCATTTAATGTTAGAAAATATTCTTTATTAAATGTTATCCGATGGCAAACATTCGAGCCGCTCCTGTTGACCAGGTTCCTTTCAGGGTTTATCCGATACCACCCGCAACCGTTGTTCCCGGTGCTGGTTGTCACGTGATTCGTCTTTTACCTGTCTTCGGTTCCACGTGGCGTACTATCATTTGATCATTTATTATGGACTAATTTTACCCTATATAGATAGTCCCTCTGCTTTCCGGTGGTATATCTTTGTGTCACCGATGAAGATTCCTTTCTTGGTGGGAAATCTTCTTAACAGTCTCTGACGCTTGAAAGGACGCACGTCTTCTCGCATTTAATAATCCGAACACATATTGCCCCACGATTCAGCAATATTTTCTCTGGTTCTTGATGTAACATGACCATGATTTTTGCCGTCTATATCTTCACTTATACTCATCATTTTACCTATTTCACTTTCAAAATTTTCGTAAGTTTATCATCTTCTTTGGACTCAAACTTCTCTTGCTTAGAAAAACTTTCATCTTTTCTAACTTTCTCTAAAATTTTACTGCTCTTCCATTACCATGGCTTCTTTTACCTGAATCTTTTAGAAACTTTGGTCTTCTCTTCGGTGGAGGCCCGAAGAGAAACAAAGACAAAGAAGTTGACATTGACGGCGAGCCTCCAACGGTAAGCACCATTATACCCAAACACAAGAATTCTAACACGGTTTTATACCCATCTAGGAACAATGAAATATTTTTAGAACTTTTGTTGATACGACATGCTATTTTTACCATTCATTTCCTTTCAGGATCAGTCTTGGTCTTCCAAACTGTACCGAGAGTATGGACGAATCCCTCACTTCATCTATATGTGTAAAAGAGACTATCCGCACTTAAAAGCCGAGTACTCTACCATTGAGTTAGCCACACGAAGAAAATATCAAGAAAATCGTGTAGATCCAATCCGAAAAAAAAAAGAAATAAAGAATTGTGAAGGAGGACTGGAACTGCCTAGACCTTAACATCCTTGCTTCGGATTTGATAGAGCGAGTTACCTTCACCAAGGAAGGTTTTACGTGTGTCTATACGTACCCCTTCACCTTGGGTCCATTTTACCTAAGCGAAAGGCTCGACCCCGTAATTTTAGAGTTCTGCCACTGGTACCAGGTCGGCTTGGCACAAGTAGATCCATCTATTTAGCGAACGGTGGCTTGCCTACGCCGGTTGTGCACAGAGACCGGAGAAACCCTAACCCTAGCACACATGATGAATTCTACTCCCCCAAAATCTTCCGTGGTGGAGTAATAAATTTTAGCAAATATGGCCATCACGCCATTCTCATCAGCGTGGATGATGACAGTGATCGTGGATGGATAGAGCGGTTTGTCATCATCACTACTAGGGATATCATCCCGACCATAACTCCATATTTTCCTGAATCGTGGAATCGTTCTCGTAAGTTTGTAATTTATTCATCTCTTTCCTTCGTAAAAGACCATTTTCTGTCATTGTTGATCTCTTTGTTTCCGCTGTTACAGCTACCCAGTGGACGCCACCACGTGTTCAAGGCCTGGACCAGTGGGTTCAAAAGATTCTATATATTATGACGCTAGAAACCCGGTGGTGGAAGGAAATGACCCCCAAGTATGGGTGGAAGGCCAAGAACCATGGTAAACCGAGTCATTCTTCCTTTCGTCTGTGTATGAACACAAGTAACATTCGCTAACTCCGTTTGTTGTTTGATTCAGGACTCCGGCATGTCTTTGTCACCTGCCCCGAGGTGGATATTTTGGCTGACCCTGCGGAGGCCGCGAGGGTGCTACAAAGTGACCTTGCTCGAAGCAGCGCCCTTGGATATGTTCCCGGTGATAGTGCTTCCTCTCAGATTCCTCAGCTAGAGAACAAGGAACCAAAAAGACGGCATTTTTCCTCGACTGGGGATAAAAATAAGAAAATAAAGAAGGCCACGACCGAGCTTGCCATGGTCACAGTGGTCATTGAAGATGAAGGGGAAGCTAGTGATGAAGAAGCTTCCCTTCAAAAGAGAAAACGATCTTCATCAGCTCAATCGGATGCTCAATCGGGAGAGCTTGAAGCCCCGACCGAGGGTGAGATCCGAGCACTTTGTGGTGAAATGGAGATAGTATAGGATGCCGACTCTCACTTTCTGACCCCTGTTGTTGTTTCTAGTCCTAGGAGCTCGAACCCCATGCATCTTCTATCTTTGGTCACCGAATAACCAATAATCAGCGTTGCTCCCATTGCAGCTGCTTCTCAACTTTCGACGCCAACGACTTCACCCCCCTCTACACCAGCTGCATCTTCACCACCAGTACCCACTGCATCTCCTCCACCAGTAACAAATACTCGAGAGGAGGGTGCTTCTTCTCCCAGTCTCCCGACCACAGAATTTGGGGCACAATTATTCACCCCTTCTCCAAATCCCCGATAGAAGAGGAGTGCCACCCTTTCGATTTCGAAGGGGTTCCATCTACTGTCCAGGCTGGTGGAGCTCGTCAGGCCGGTGGAGCTCGTCAACTATCTGAAGCCACTGGCTTCAGAGAAGGATAAGAAGAAAATATACTCCCTTTTGGGGGAGTGTCTGTTGAATAATGCAATTCATAATACGGCAGCGGTATCGTGCTTGCTCTCTTATTGCTTGTTTTCTACTTATCTATTGTAACAAGGTTTTTAACCTCGATATACTTTTTACATGCCAACTTCCTTACTTCTGAGGGACTTTAGAGATTGTTTCTTGATAAATAAGGGCTTTCCTCAAAACGAGATTAACTGTTGGCCGAAAGAAATTAACTTGTTGTGCGCCTCCCAGTACTGGAGGCAAAAGCTGTAGAGGCGGGCGAACTTGAGGCCCGGTTGAAGCAAAGTGAGCAACAACTGATGGACCATAGCCAAGAAGCCACTCAATTACATGCACAGCTCCAAAATGCTAAGGATAAGTGGGTTGAGCTTCAAGATGTTGTGCTTGGCGCTGCCGAGCACGAGTCTGCCTCCGTTGAATAAGTGAATAACTTGGAGGCAACCTTGAGCTCCAAAACCAAGGTGGCTAATGCCCCCGAGGAGAATAGGGCCAGAATGGAGGAGAGATTCAAGAAGATCATGGAGCAAAATCGGCTTCACCTATCTACAATCCGTGATCTTGATTCTAGCCTCAGTGCCACGAGATCCGAGAGGGACGGCCTTCAGGATGAAATTGACAGGCTTAATGTAACGACCAGTCCGGTCATTTTGAGTATTACAACCCCGTTCCCCCATTTACTGCTCAATTTATGCTTTACAGTTATTATGTGACTCGCCGGGGTGATTGGTTCGGATCCAGTGAGGTTTTGGAATGAATTGGAACACTTAGTTCCAAGGTTTAAAACTTAAGTTAAAATAGTGACCAGATGTCGACTTATGTGTTAATAACTTCGAAATAGAGTTTTGATGATTCCAATGGCTCCGTATGGTAATTTTGAACTTAGGAGCATGTCCGGAAAATTATTTGGAAGTTCGTAGTTAAATTAAGCTTGAAATGACTAAAATAGATATTTAAGTTTGGAAGTTTGACCGGGAGTTGACTTTTTGATATCGGGGTCGGAATCCGATTATGGAAATTGGAATAGGTCTGTTATGTCATTTATGACGTGTGTGCAAAATTTAAGGTCAATCGGATTTGATTTGATAGGTTTCGGCATCGAATGTAGAAGTTGAAAATTTGTAGTTTCATTAGGCTTGAATTGGGGTATGATTCGTGGTTTTAGCGTTGTTTGATGTGATTTGAGATTTTAACTAAGTTCGTATGATGTTTTGGGACTTATTGATATATTTGGTTGAGGTCCCGGGGGCCTCGGGTGTGTTTCGGGGTGGTTTCGGACCAAGTTTAGTTGGGTTTCTGGTACTGATGTTGTTCTACGCGAAGGGACTCACGCGTTCGCTAAGGGGAAATTTAGACTTGCCCATTTTGTGCTTCACATTCGTGACCGAGGGCACGCGT